ATATATATATATATATATATATATATATATATATATATATATATATATATATATATATATATAAATGTTACAATTAGTTAGTATCAGTGCAGTTGTGTCATTATTACGACAATAAAGCTGCTGGCTTTAATCTAAGTTTAGTTTTTATAACCAACATGTGTAAAATAGAGGAAAGTAAATTAAGTGTTTAAATTATCCTATAAGCCAAGACCTTTAAAAAAATAAACGAAAATTATCAAGTCGGTCTGCTTTAATAGAATACTCTTTAATGAAAGCATTTGCAGTCCTCGTTCATGTTGCATTTACGCAATCAGCAAGTTTTACAAGCATGGGATTCAGGCATTCCAATAGAGAGAATCGTTCTGCAGAGCCATTTCATTAATTCAGAGTTTCAAAAAGCTCAGTTTCTCTCATCACTACTGAACACTGAATCAGCAAACCAAAGGAACTCCTACGGTGAAAAACAAACTAATAAGACATGGGTGCATATGTTAATTAGCCCACCAACGAGAATAAAACCATAAACAGGAAATCAAAAAGACTTTACCGTATTCATTCCATCAGTTTGGAAATGGCTTGTGTTGAAGTAGTTTGGAAATGAACAAGACAGTGGCTCCTCTGCCATAAAATGTATTCATTCACACAAAGCTAATAAAGAAAGCCCAAATCTCCCAGAAGACCTCATTTGTGCATAGGCAGCCACTGGTGACAGCGCTTTATTTTTCATTCAGTTTCTCCACTCCTGTTCTGGCATGATCCATCAGCCAGCATTGTACTGAATCAGCATCTCACTCAGTCGGGAACCCTTTTCGAATATTTAGAGCACCTTTGTCTGCATCTCATCTTTAGAGACCTGTCTAAGAACATCTCCAATGCTCTCATAGATTCCCTGCCACGGAACGACAGTGCGGCTGTCTCTCTATCTGGACTAATGATTATAACACCTCCACAACAATTCACCATCTGAGGGACACAAACAGCCGCGCCGCATTCCCCTGGCAGAAATACGTTTGAAAACTCATTTTCTTTCAGCTTTTCAATTTCACTGCACTTTCCCCCATACTCCCTTACTCTTTTCCTGTGCTTTTCTTCTTGTTTATAAAGACAGGAGCTCTAAATAGAGAGCGATACTAAGGAACAGGGTATACTGTCTTTCTGTAAGCACCGATGGTTGAAACAGAACCAGAGATGACCTCTAGAGGTATCACTCAACCCAGAAGCCAGAGAACCTGCCGAAGTGTGAAACCACTAACAGTGAATTAACATCTTTGGAAAGTGATAACAAGTAAGATCGTTATCACTGACAGATGGCAGGACTAGTTTGGGACCTGATCTGAAGCAGTGTGGGACTGGGGAGGAAAAAAAAAAAGGTTCAATCATGTATTACCTTTGCAAGAAACAACAATCTGACTGGGCTATTTTGGGATGCCCAAAAATATTTCACAATCCACACCTTTTGAACCTTGTAATACTTTAGGTAATTCTCACTAATAACTACCCAGCTAACACATTTAGGTTGTAAGAACGTTCTCATAACGTTATCTGTAACGTTCCAAGAATGTTGAAATGTCCAGTTTGCTTAATGTTGCTAGAACGTTTTTTTATGGTTAGGATAACGTTGTTACAATGTTTTTAAAACCAAAATTTCCACCAAATATAACGTTCTAAGAACGTTTATTTGGAATGTTCCAAGAACGTTGAAATGTCCAGTTTGCTTAATGTTGCTAGAACTTTTTTTATAATGTTGTTACAACTTTTTCAAAACTTAAATTTCCACCAAAATATAACGTTTTAAGAACGTTTTCCATCAACATTATGGCAACGTTTATGAAGTACAAATAATGTTCTGAAGACGTTCCAAGAACTTTATTCTAAGAACGTTTTCCATCAACATTATGACGTTTATGAAGTACAAATAACGTTCTGAAGACGTTCCAAGAACTTTATTCTAAGAACGTTTTCCATCAACATTATGACGTTTATGAAGTACAAATAACGTTCTGAAGACGTTCAGAGAACTTTGTTCTAAGAACGTTTTTTACAACGTTACAAGAACGTTAACGTTATGGACCCTTTTAAAAACAATCTATTGATAACGTTTTGTGCTAACATTTCCACAACTTTTAAAAAACGTTAGTGAATGTTCTGGGAACGTTCCCTGTTAGCTGGGTAGTCGGTTATTATTAAAGTCTGCATAACCGGAAGCTGCAGCCATTTTTTTTAGTATTGTGACGCAGTTAAACGGAATATCATGAGAAAACAGTGAGTGTGGCTTGTTTTTTCTACTGCGAACTGATTGGATGTAGTGAAGTAGGCTTTTCATTTAGAAAGTTTGGGAAAATTGTTTTATTATTTATATATTATTATTTTATATAACCACGCTCAATACCTCAGACAGACCAAAGTGATGCCCTTGAAACGCCTCTCGGGCATTCGGTCTGAAAGGGGAAACATCAAATTCTCCAAAACCAAGCTTTGCCAAGCTTATGATCACATCACATATTTGCAATCACAATACAATTAAACAACTGTCTCATAAGTTTAGCTTCTAAACGCTCGAATCAAACAATCAAAAATATTTCCCTGTGAATAAAGCTGCGGTCACACTAGAGTTTGTGAGTGCGAAATTCTGTCGTGCGGCGCTGCGAAAAGAGCCAGGATTAAACAAGATTATTAGACATTTTAAAAAGCGAGCGATTGCTCCATGTTTTAAATTTCTGTCCAGAGAGGTCATGTTTTGAACCTTGGTTGGTTTCACGCATTCAAGTTATGCAATTTCACAGGTCAGAGACTCAGAGTTCACCAAGCTTGAACTTTGCACCACAGCAACCTGCAAAACTTAACGCATAACCCCACGTTTCCGGTCTGACGCATTTGCGTGCATATGAATGGAAGTCTATGGGAGGAAAAGCCCAGTGTGACCGCAGCTTAACGCGTTTTATTCAGACGAGCTACGTCTGGTGTGAACAGAATTACAAGCTGCCCTCAGTTACACTCAATTCTCATCTGGTTCACAGCACCAATTTAACTCCTCAGGTTTAGCTGGATTTGAATAAGTGTATTTGGTATGGTCGAAACACAATCAAACACATAATATTTGTCACATTCTTTGGAGAATTATTACATCAATGTCTGCCCCAACTTGAAAAAAAAAAGGCTTTAAATCAACTTTGGAATAACTCAAAAGATCTAATGTAAGGTCACTGATTTGATTCAATTCAGTGCCTATATAAGGGGACTAGCTTAATAACCTATACAAAAAGACAAATCATATAAAATATTACTATAAACAAGTTTAAACATAATTATTTAACTCATTTAAACAATAGAATGCAACCAAACAATGTCAATAGTACATACCAAACAATGCAATATATAAAAAGCAATGTTGAAACGAATGAACCTAGCCTGTTAGCATGTGAAAGCTAAAGCTGCTAAAAGTACCAAACAGAGTTCATACTGTAGGCTTTCAGAAAAGAAATGTCTTTACCTACCAGTAGCATCTCAAAGTTGATGGATCCATTGTACATGCCCCATCTGTCCAATGCTTGTTTTACAAACTCAAGAGTTCCACTGCTGTCCATCATTGCAAACAAAGAGCTCACCCTGCTTGCAGGTACTCTCACGCACCTGCTTCTATGAGACCCGTGTCATTTGACTAGACCCATGTGATCAGCTTCATCCAT